GACTTACTACCATGGCAGAACCTTCAAAACAAAACCCAGAAAAACTCTTTAACTTCAAGATAACCCCATTAAACAAGTTTAAAATAGCAATTGCTGCACTTTGTGAACGTGATTTCAATCGTATTGGATTAGGACTGATTGAAGTAACTGAAGAAGAAGTTTATTTTACGGCTCGAAATGTCAATACTGATGATGCTGGTCAACTCGTACTCAATTCTACTGCACTGCAGGATTTCCTATATACCAGTAAATGTGAGAACACATTTATTATGGTTAACTTCAGACTAATTTTGGAGATTATTACTGGTGCAGAAAGCTTTAATGTTGACTCGATTACCATCTTTCATATTGAAGGGACTTTCGACCTCAACTTGAATTTTGGTAAAATCTTTATATCCAAGATTTCATTTTTAATTTCTTTTTTAATTAATGTAGTGCCACAATTATGCATGAATATACTATTTTCTTGTAGATTGTATAATAATTTCTTAAATGAATTATCCATTTTTAGTGATCTTTTTCTCTGTTTAATCCTTTATTGTTGTAATTTGCATTCTGTACTTGTATGTCTTTCTTGATGCAACACTTTTCGATACGAATTTCGCTTAATATAGCTTATTTTTCATGGATGTTAATGAATGCTATTTATATAAAAAAATAAAAAAATTGGTTGTAAGAATTATATGACGATGCTTATGTTTAACATTGAGGTTCTTAATCTTGATATTCTAGTTAAAAAATTTATTTCAGGAAATGATCCGGTTAACGTGAATAAAGTGATGTTGTTGCCAATTTATCCTGGATTTGAGAAATTTCCTGACATAACATTTTCCTGTGAGGCTATTATTCCATCTGAGGCGCTGAGGGAGATGATTAATGGACTCGAAAGGAGAGGGAATCAATTAGGTTCTTGTTAATCTCATTCTTTTTTAAACATCTATTAGTCAAATTACATGTATCAACTTAATTCTTTTTTAATTTTCATGTTATCAGTTTTAGTCGACATAACAGAAGAAGTTGTGAAAGTCTTTACAGGAGAGAATCAGCCTTGGGAATTCAAGTTTGATGACCAGGTAATGCTTATATGTAAAACTCGAGATGAACTGATTGATTAAAGATTACAGAGGTGGTATAATCCGATAATGAATTCGCGTTACGTGTGGGTTTTGCAGGTTAGTGGAATGTCACCGGGGCAAAATCACCGTGCTTGGTTCAAGTGGCCTCACTTGCAGATGCTGAAGATAGCATCACATATAACAGAAGCTGCTCTGATATGTTTTCTAACTGAACCAAAGAAAATGATCATGACACGATTCAACCTCCGAGAAGTTGGTGATTTGATATTCATCAACAAAGATCTTTCATGATCGTCCTTGGCTTTGGTACAATCCCATCTGATTAATCCACTACTGTATGAAATTTAGTGTTCTTTTGTAATTCAGCAGCATGGTTAGCATTGTTAAGTACTTCATATTAAGTAGTAAGTAGTAAGTACACTATGTAATGTGTGATTTTTAGTGAGCTTCCTGAAACTGTGAAAAATACATGTAATTAGCTTTATTGTTTACAATACTAGTGTCTGTAGAAACATTGCTTAAACATCTTATGTAACAGTCTTTTTCTGAGAACCAAATTATCAGCTTCGACTCCAAACGATACTTACTGCAGGATACAATTAAAATAGTACTGTAGGATTATCTAGGTTCTATTACAATTAAAATAGTTTCCAATAAGATTTAATAAGTTCGATTGTTTTAATAAGATATATAAAAATAATAAGGCTGATTGAACAAACCAATAATTAGTTTGGAGATAGTAATGTAAAAATCAGTTTTTAGATTGATTTAACTAGACCTGGCAACTCTGACCCAGACCCGATGACCCGAGACCCGACCCATGACCCGAAATTGACCTGACTGGACCCATACCCAACCCGAAAATGGAGTTGACTCGAATCTGACCCGACACCCGAAAAACTGACCTGACCCGAAGTGATTGACTCGAAGTGTTTGACCCAAACAAACCCGATACCCAAATTTGACCCGAATAGACTCGATACCCGACATGTCCCGAACTAAAATTACCTTATAATTGAACTTAAAATGTCTTGTACCAAAAGTAACTCAAATATCTTCAACCGTAGCTAAGCTCATAAACTGAATTGATAGTTTTTATTATAACAATAACAAAATATATACTACGTATAAAATTATTTATTTGAGCTTGATTCACAAATAAAACAACCCGAACATGACCCGACCACTTTTTGACCTGACCCGAATATGACCCGACCTGAACTTGACCCCATATTTGACCCGAAGTTGACCTGAAACCCGAATCGACCCAACCCGAATGTTAGCTGACCCAAAAATGACCCGACTCGAAAGTGACCCAACCTAGACCCGACCCGAATGACCCATTTGCTAGGTCTAGATTTAACCATGTAACCTTTTTAAGTTCTTCGGAAATAAAATTAGGCAAATGAACTTAACTTTAAAAAAAATTAAAGAGCACATTAGATGGTCATTCATATTAACCACAAAAATAATATAAGGATCGAATTAAGAAAATATAGTTGAAAGAAATCACACAGACAATATAGTAAAAATTATATAGACAACTAGACGTTTCACATTTGGAAATAATGTGATTAAGAAATAGCTAGACTTCATCAAAAGATACTCGTACTCCTTAGATATTGGATGACTATGTAACCGCTATGTGAATGATTCATGGAGCATATAGGCTTTTACTTTCTTATATGTTTCATTTTAATCTATTTTTTTTGTAACATGAAATTCGTTCAATAATATAGATATTCACGTGAAATTGGACATTAAGTTTTAAAGTTAAGGCTGAAAATCTTACCAATTAAAATAAAAACTTAATAATTACACTGACGGAGGTAGTGGGGGACATGAACATGAATCGCTCACTTTTAAAAGAAATAAAGAATTGCACTAATGTTTGAGAGAATAGGGAGGAAAACAAACCGTCAAGAAGTTGAAACCCCATACTCCAAATTGTTAGGATTGTTAATTGTACAATGATTGTTAAGTTTGTTGAAATTGAAATTGCCACTTTACACATTATTTGATAAATTAATTTACTTAATTCAAGGTTTTTATTTAGGAAAAATTAACACCATTAATCCCAACTTTGCTCCGTCCACTGTTATTAATCCCAACTTTTATTTATTTTCAATCACTCCCAACTTTATACCCTATTAATTTTTATCAACCAATAGTGCTCGGAGATGAACAACTTTCAATATGAAGCTCTCGAAGACAAGTGCTTCGATTGGTTAACCTGGATAGCTGCTTCAAAGAGTTGTCATTATAAATTTTAAGACGCCTTACACTCGATGGACAGCTATGTTCCAAGAACATAGCCAGTTCTTTGCAGTTTCCTACCACGACAGAAGTGAGCTCGTCTAAATCCCCATAGAGATAGTGGCTCAAGGTTGGACAGTTCACCAATGTTAAGAATTTACCTGAATAATAGAGCAAAGGAAAGCTTGGAAGTGAGATTCTCAGCTTATGGCAGTGATCAACCTTGAGTGTTTTTAGGGATGGAAGACACGAAGGAAAATTACCCCGCAACTGATGGGAGAATGCCTTGCTATTGTCGACTGATGGAGGCGACCAAGACTCCATATGATCAAAATGTGAAGTTTTTAATGCAGGAAACGGATTTGAACAACCAATACCATAAAATTCAGGACCTACAGTTTTAAGGCCATCCATCCCTTTTACCCAAAGCTCCTTCAATGAGGGAATGACAACCATCTGAGTGAAAGAGGGATTCCCCAACCAAGCAGGGAACACCAAGGACTTTAATTCTTTGATGGATTTCTGAGGTTGCAATTGGTCAAGTACTTCTCTTTCAATGTTCTGATCAACTTCACAAGTACAAGTTCCCCAAAACAATCTCAACACTTCCAGGCTCGATTTTGGCTTCTTCTGAATCTTTACTCCTGACCACATTTTGGAGGCCAAAGATATCCAGTGAACCCAAACATTGGTGTCAAGCAGAATCTCCCAATCCCCAGGGGCATTTCCATCAAAGCACTATCTTTATCATTCTCCAGGTGACGAAGATCAGTTAGGTGAGCCATGTTAGTGACTAATTTCCTGAGAGATTTACAGCCTCTCAATAGCAGCGTCTAGAGATTGCAAAGTTTGCTAGTTGTTTCCGGCGACTCCTTCAGTTCTGTATTGAATGAGAGGTCAAGATATCGTAAGAGCTTCAGATCACCAATACAATTTGGCAGCTCTGTGATCCCCATGTCAGCCATCGACAGCAAGCGTAAGTAATGAAATCGTTGGAAGCTGGAATCTGACATTTGTATTGTAGGAACATAAAACGGACTGCCAAAATAAGCAAATGTTCGCAGTTGGCCAATTTTCTCTGGAGTCCAGGGTTGGTCTTCCATGACTTCTTTAGTGCAGGAGAAATAACGACTTCTTGAAGAAATATTTTTGATATCCCTTTTAGAACCAACATCACCTACAGCCCATTGAGCCATGTCATGGATGAGGGCATGCATAATGAACCACTCTTTGTAGTACAAATATGAAATATGGACGTGGTTCCATTAATGATCTTTGTACCAAATCGGCTTTCAGCTTTTCACCAAACACGGCCTAGGCCTTTTTTTTTTTCTCTCGTAACTAATCACACGAGTTCTTTAAGGTATCTCCTTTTCACATTGCTATTAGCACTTGGTGTAAAGTTGTAAACCATGTATTCCAGATCCATTTTAGAACAGGTTTTACTTGAAATTCTGGGCACAAATTTTCGATTCAGAATTGGATTTGTATCTACACCAACCGTATTTCTATATTTATTATTGTGAAGGGACACAGAAGTAACAATAAAACATAGCGTGAACATAATTAATTATATAAACATCAGAACATCATACTATAAAGGCCAACATACTAGCTTTGCCTTTAATGATGAGGTTCACAAACGAGGATATCAAAAGAAACTCAACATAGACTGAACTGAGTTTTGAAGCATAATTTGAGTACTCCGTATATTATTTAGCATTTGAAGTATCATTTAATCCAAAATAATGCCTTCTAAATGAGCAAATTTTAAAGCAAGATGAATTGTTCACAAGGAGAGAAACAGGCAAAAGTCTCACACTGAAACACTGAATGCCCTTTTTTTTTTTTAAAAAAAAAACACATATTAACCTCAAAAACCCCATATGAAATACAGTTCAAAAGTCAGCCACAGCTGCAACAGGCAGTGACATGCTTATGGAAGTGATCGCTGGTACAGAGGCAAAGCTCCCAAAGCTTCACGTTCTTCTCTCTCACGCTTCACCTGCAACCACCAGCAACAACATTGTCAAACAACTCTTTATGCCAGAAAGTATATATAGCAAAGGGAAAGACAGTGTTCTAGTCTCTCTATTGTAGCACTCCGTAGATTGTAAAAGGTTAACTATAGTAAGTTTGAAAATGAAAATATTGATCCAATGATTAGAAATGGATAATTTCATTCTTGCGACAAAAATTTAACAGCCAACAGATGAGCAATGAACGCAATTGAAGATACAAACTAGATGGAAGAAAAAGAAAGGTAGATGCAACCAAGTATTTGTCTATATTGTACCATCACTGACACTAAGATTCAGGATACAAGTTCCCAATCACAAGGATAGAAAACATCTAATGCCATTTAGCTGCCCTGTAATCAGAGCACCTGACTTAAGTCCATTCAACCTACAAACTTGCTAAGTACAAGTATACCTCCATCATTTAAGCTCTAAATTGCATGTATTACTCAAACTTACCATATATGCAAATCCTTGTGAAACCTTCTTGCCATAAAACAAATTCAAGTGATGGCAAGAATCGCAATCACATATTAACATTTATTTGTGAAACTTATCATCAACATTATGTAAAATAAGCTTATTTATCTTTCCTCAACAGTAGAGGTAAATAACCCTGTCAACCTACGTATGTGATCACTCATCATCATCATCAACTTAAGAGATTGAAATCCCCATTGGCATGTTTAATACATAACAATACATCATAACAAAGGGAAAGCAAACAACTAGGGGTGTTTGCGGTGCAGTTTGGATTGCGGTTTGCATTTTTTTCAAACCGCACCAAACCGCACCGCAAAATGCGGTTTGGTGCGGTGAGGTTTGCGGTTTAGCCACATTTTTTTTTAATTATAAGGATTTTTTTTTTTTTAAAAAAAGACTATTTTATTTTGTAATTATTAATTTATAATTTAAATATTTAACTCTTTTTTTAACTCTTAATTAGCTAATAGTAAAAAATTACATCATATTTTTAAGCTATTTTATATATTTTTTAATAGAATTAGTAACGGTTTGTGGTTTGACGGTCTAAACCGCATCAAAGTAAGGTTTGGTCTAAAATGTTTTGGAAACCGCACCAAACCGCAAAAGTGTTGTTTGGTCATTTTCGGAAACCGCACCGCAATTTTCAAACCGCAAACCGACAAAACCGCAAAATTGCGGTTTGGTCTGCGGTTTGGTGCGGTCTAGACCCCACACTCTGAACAGCCCTACATATAACATGGCAATAATGTGAATTTTTTAAAAAAATACTTACAAGGGCCAACATATCTTGGAGGTAGCTCCTGAAGGGTGTTTGCATTGCCTGCAAAAGCACACACATGTTATGAGATCATAAGAACCACATAAAAATATTTTTACTCAAGAAACTAACACAAAGAAAGAGATGCACACTATTACGCAGTGAAAATCAATATGCTATGCCTAGCTAGCAATTTCAACACCAAATTCAGGATTACTAGAAGCAAGGGTATTTCTAAAAACATCAATGATTTTAAATGTTGAAAACGTTAGAACAATGAAACAACTTCTATCACAAGGCCCAGCTAAAAATTCAAATACTGCAATGAACCAACCAAAGAGGAGGGGGCTTTATAGGTAGTGCATATTGAGTTTGTTAGGATTAGATTGGAGAGAAAACAAGCAGTGAGTTTGCTCTATAAATAACAGAAGATTAAGGGAGAGATCATTAGACGAAAGTTGATGAGAATTCTCTATAAGTTTTATTTTTCCGGGAGAGTTCAAGCCTCTTCAATGCTTGTGTTTATTGATTACTTATACACATTTCCGGTTTAACAATCATGATCACCATTGTACCACATTATATCAACTCACAAAATCTGTCAAGTTATGTCAGTTTATAACCGTTACTCCATGAAAAAGAACATTTTGATAACCAAAAATTAACTTTAGGTTGCTCATGAACCAGCATAAATATTCCGTCTTCACTCATCACATATAATCCTGAATAGAGTCCTAATACCTGAAAGATATTGCCTTGATAGAATTTGGAAGGAACAAGAAATATTGCATGGACTTCCTAGGTCCAAGTCACAAGAAGCAGTGATAAAGCACTGAGCTAATATTCTAAGAAGCTAAAAATTACCCCTCCCCTCCAAACAAATAATTCTCAGATGCCTTCCACAGCGATTCAAAGTCTTAAAAGGAGCAAATTATCTTTCAAACTAAACATTCATCACAACTCTATCCCCTATGGTTTTTCTTCTCATGGCCAAAACCATCATGTCCAACCCCCCCCCCCCCCCCCCCCCTCTTTTAATTTTTTCCATTATTGGATGTCCTCTAGTGAAAGAGTTATATGACGATGTGAGAAACATGTATGACAACCTGTTAATATAGATGCATCTATATATTTTAAGTTTTGCAAGTTCTAAATGTGAGCACAAAAAAAAAAAAAAAAAAAACTACATAATGTAAATGAACCTAACTCTATTTAAACAGCAATCAAAATTAGAGGGCAATTATCTCCAAAGACTAACTTGAAGAATGATCTTACATCCTGATGGTTACCTTCAGAAAACCAGCTATGTTTCCACTCATAATATTCATAATGCAATTTTGTGAAGATACTAAAATGAAGCACATCACACAAATCTATTAAAGAAGACAAGTATTAGACTAATAATCTCTAGGACTATAGCCTGAAAAAAAAAAAAAGGATTTTATTTTAAAAAATATATATATTCAAAGACACCGAGGAATGTCAAATTGATGGAGGAATAGGATGAAAGAATCACTCTAAATAACCTCACAGACCAAACATATACACTAAAATTCAAGCCTCAATCTACATAATAACATTAATTCATCCATTGAATCATTGAGTGACAACCGATATTAATATTGAACCACTTCACCTTAACTTGAAAGATTCTCATGTAATGACCTCCAAGCCTATTCTCTCAAAAACCCACTGATCATTTTCTTCCAAATATACCACCATATAGCTAAAGATATCAGCTTACATGTTTGCAGCATCTTTTTTTTTTTTTTTTTTTTTTTTTTTTTTTTTTTTTTTAAAAAAAAAAAAACTTAAATTACCTCTTCCTATCCTATTCTCTATAAAAAAATTTCAGATTAAATTTCTTTCACATAGACCACCATATAGCTAAAGATATCAGCTTACATATTTTCAGCATCTTTTTGCAATTTGTCAACAACCAGACTATAACTAATACCAAACAAAAACAAACTCAAGTGCCAAAAAAATATCACCCATCTAGTCTGGTAATTGTTTTTACTCTTTTAACAGCAATTTCAGAAAGGTGCTTTGCAAAGTTTGCATTTCCAGAAATAGAGGAGATCTATTTGGGTGCCACAACACGACACAATCCTCACCCATTGAAACTTGATTTAAGCGATGACACCTTTCAGAAGGTTAGGGATAGGAAAATTAAGTTTACCACAAGCATCATGCCAAAAGCGCACCGATAAACCACTTTAATAACCCAACTCCTCCAAAGATTTTAAATGCTCCAGACAACACCAGTGAGAATGTCCTCCATCAATTCCACCTCCTATGTAATCAAGTTCGGCCTCAATGACTTTTTTTCAAAGAGCACAGTCATCGTCAGCAAATCTCCAAAACAAATTTCTGTTTGAGAGCTTCATAATAAAAGATATAGCCCTTATGCCAAGTGCAAGGAAAATCACCAAATCAAACCCCCTCATCAAGCACAATGTTACCCAAGAAAAACTCCCTCACCTTTTCCATCTTATTTACAAGACTAATAGGGATGTATTCTAAACATAGATAACACAGGAGGTTGTATACAAATAATACAGTGCTCTTCAACAAAGTCATCTATCTCTTTAAGAATCTTGCCAACCTTCGCCAAAAATTACAAATTACGGTACCCCAAAAGCTTTGGTGTAAAAGGAAAATTGCATGGAAGATCCCAAGTACAAAGTGTGGAGAGGTAATCTCAGATTTAAATTAATTCCACAAGCAATCTGCCAATTTGACATCGCCAACTCAAATATACACACTATCCAAAGTTAATCCTCAAACCACTCATCATTAGGTAAGTGAGAACACAGAAAGAAGCCCTAATTACTCTCATTGGCTTGGAGATGATAAAAGCGCCAACCCAAAATGAGCATGTCAGAAACAATTAATGATCCGAGTGAGGAATTTACCAACTTGGAAACCATCTATTAACCTAAAAATAGTTGTCTAACTGTCTTACTAACCAAATTGCTGAAAGAGTCCAAAATAACCAACAATGGAATAACTTAATATCAGTAAGTTACATTCAGCCTAGGTGTCAACACCTTAGATGTAACTCATGAATCTTATTCATCCAACATAGATATACTACTGGTTAAGGAGAAAAACAATTCCTCACTTATCTCAAGAAATTAAGTTTAAAGAAGGTATAAAATGACAGCCTATATTTTATTATCGACTCATTGGTCAATCAAGTTCATTATCAACTACTCCCTTCATCCCAAAAAGAACGCCACAAGGCCATAACTATATCAGCCTTTCCAAATCCAACGACAAGCGTACATGAATTATTAGCATACTTGAGCTTTAACCTCCTATGAGTTCTATCCCCATCTCTCCCAATTTCAGCAAAGCTCTCAACTTCTAATCCTCCCACGCAGTCACCAAGGGGTTTTAGATGGTTAACATATCCTAAATACCGCATTCCAACTTGCAAAATAAATTCTTGATACAACAGCCAGAATATATCCCTTAAGATACAATAGGCATAATAATTATGAACTAAGAGGGACCTGCAAATTTATATACAATATACAAACTATAGTTCCTGTTCCTGTCAACAACCAATTGAAACCATTGGCAATTCTTAAATTTTTAGTGATTGTAGGACACTTAGCAGACAATGCATAGTCAGCTCACATACAAGAAGAATGACTGTTTAGTACAACCCAATCGGAAAAGTCCAGGAAACCCCCAAAAAATTTTGCTTTATTAGTTTATCCATTTCCACATTTATAATTAACAAACTATTCACAACTTTTCAACAATGTCTTCCAATGAAACACAAGTAGCAACTAGCAAGTAAATTATAACAATAATTAAGTTGAAATGTAATTATTGCTATATACTTCCATCAGTAATTAACAACCTGCAAGACATTTCAAGCAAATATTGATTCGTATTTCTCATTCTGTAACAACAAAATCGTTTCATTTGCAAAATCAACTTCACAATCTACAGAATTAGCCAACAATGCAATTCACTAATCCATAAAACCATCAATAAAAGCAATTACTAATCCAAAAATACTTGTTTCCGCAATAATCAAAGTAATAACCCTAAATCAGAGCGCATTTGAAGCCAAAAATACAAAATACAAATCAGATTATCAAACAAGCAAGATAGAAAGAGAACCTGAAGATCTTCAGGAAGGTACTCGTGCTTCATAGAAAGGTCTATAGCACGCAAAAGACGCTGATTACGAGCGTCAACAATCTCACGAGGAAGCCGATCTAGGGCTTCTTTGATGTCATGATCTTCCAATGGATCATAACAATCATCAAATCTCAAACCTAAATTCAAATCAAAATACACGAAATCAATCACAAAAATTAGGTCAAAATCAATCAAAAAAAAGAGGAGAGAGAAAGAGAAAAATAACCATATTTGCGAAGACGGTGGTCGACGGAACTCTTGTGCATAGCAGCCAAAACATTCTTCTTAGGATTAAGAAGAGCCTTCAACAATGAAGATGAACCAGTAGCAATCGCCATTTTTGTAGGTTTGCTAAGCTAGTTACCTCTCTTTCTTTCTCTAAAAATGAGCGATTTTTCTTGCTCTTCTGGCTCGAAGTTCTTCCCTAATTGGCAGGAGTTTCTGGAAATTATCAGATTTTTCTGGATAATTTTAATACGGCCCTTTTTGTTTGATGTTGTTGTTGCATTGATTGGGCTTGGTCCATATGATGGTAGGCAAAGACCGTCTCATAATTTTACTCCGTATTTTTTTTTTTTGACAAAGAGACGGTCTCGTAATAATTATACAGAGAATCATCATTTCATTTTAATTTGTTCACCTTATTTTTATTTCTTTTAGGAAAATTAAGTTTAGATAATGAAGTACACCGTATAAGCTAAGGGAAAATAAATTTTGATAAAAGTTGATAATATAAATTCACATATAAAATAATCAGATGAATAAAATACACCCCTATAGCTTATTGTTGAATCTTAAATGTGTGTTTATTACATTTTTTCATCAAAGTTTATAGGAAAATTGAAAAATACCACCATGTATTGTTCACATTTTGTACAATACCACCTCAAGTTTTTTTTATTGTATATTACTACCTAGTTTTCTCAAAAACCTAAAAAACTCCCACCACAATACCACCTCATGTTTTTTTTTTTTTTTTTTTTTTTTTTTTATTGTATAATACTTAAGGTGGTATTGTACAAAATTTGAACAATACATAGTGGTATTTCCTCAGATTTTCCAAACTTATATAAACAATCCGTATATTCTATGTTACTTTGTAATAGGAATACTTCAGTAATTAAGAAAAATAAAACATATTTGTTGGTACTATTCATTTGCCATACTTGATTGTATTTCCAACACAAATCATCAAGAGAAAATAATGATTTACGTTGTGACATGTGAATATTTTCTTTTGTACTTTATAGGTTATATAGATGTTTCCTTACGTATAATAACATTACTCCACATTATATACAAAATTTAATCTAAATATATAACTCTATCGTATCAAGTCTGTATAATGTAGGCACGAATGTGTATTCTCTTTCAGCTCTCTAAGTTCTTCATATTTGGACAATTATTGTCTTACAAAAAAGTTAAAACATAAAATACTTTGAATCCATTGTCAATAAGGTTCATGTTATTAATTATTATGGCCTCATGGTTTGAATCTATTATTTTGTGACTTTAGGGTAATTTCTAGCCCAACATATTTCTTCTTCTTTTAGGATGCCCCAACATATTCCTTCTTCTAGTCAAAGAGAGAATAATATTTAAGTTTTTAAGGGCATCCCAACTTTTCTTAGTCATAATCACTATTACAATCTCACTAAGTTAGAGATGGCAATGGATTGGATTCGGATCGGGTGGAGCTTCACCTGCATCCATCCATTATTCTAATTGCTCCATTCACTTCCATCCGTCACCCACTTAACCCATCATCTATATTCGTCTGTCCATCATCCGCGGATGAAACGGATGGAGCGGATGACTAATGGATGAGTATTAAAGTGAAAAAAAAACTCACATAAACTCTAATTTTCAATTATTTAAACAATAATGTTTTAATTTTATTAATAAAAAAGGAAACAATAACAACATATTTTTTGAAAAATTAATTTGCAACAAAAAAACAAGTGATTTTCTTACACATTTCATATTTAATTATTAAAATTCTTAGATAAAAAATTTAATATATGTTAAATGGGTGGATGGATGGTTAGCGGGTGAAGTAAAGTATCATCCACATCCGATTCGATCCGATCTATCACCCGCTTCATCCGTCACACACTTCTCATCCATTTGATTCGGGGTTTCGGCGTTCACTTAAAGCAGGTAGAGCGGGTTAGCGGATATCTATTTAATATTGCCATCCTTACACTAAAGTCACATAAATTTAAAGTTTGCAACTTTAGTTTGCTAAGACAATTACTTTTCAAATTGTACAAAGATGAGATGTTTTCTTAAAATTTGTTTAAGTTAGTGATGATCTATAAATTTATATCTTGAAATTAAGATAATAGTTGAGTTTCTGTTTGATGTAACTATTTAGTACATGCTAAAATGTATTGTTATTTGTGGAGCATTAACTAAGATGATTAATAATCTTTGTTTTCACAAAATCAAAGCTACTTAAAAACCCTAATCTAGAAGAGCAAAATCCTAACAAGTAAAATTTCTTTGGTAACTAAAAACAAGTGCTCTAATAATAAAAACGAAAATTTCTCATTTTCTAATATTAATTTGGCCTTTTATATCCTCCTGAGCCACCCCTAGCATCATCTAGCTATATTGCCTACATGCCAGGCTATAATCGAAGTATCAATTTACCTTCTTTTATCTTACCAATAATATACGAAGTAAATTTTTAAATAAAACTGTTTTATCATTACAAGACCACTCTTTCTGCTCTTTTATGTGTTACTGTATGTCTGGTTGTTGAACACCCATACAAGTGAGTGAGGTCAATTCAAACCGTTGTTCGTTTGGACAACGGACAGCTAACAAGTGGCAGATGTTGGACGATTGAAATTTGTTGTCCTGCATAGTGCATACCATAGCTAGGCATATGTTAAATACTCAGTTTAGTGATATTTTTGTGAGTTGGGCATGCTCCAATGTTTCAAAAGTCGTCCAAACTTTTATCTAAAAAAGATCAACTTTTTTTGTCCAACAAGCCAAATAAAAGGTTTTCCAACTTTGTCTCAAAGCTATATTATTCCTTCTGACTTGTTATTATTGGTTACAAACTTACCATATAATCCTATTAGTCCTATATTATAACCTATTAGCCCTATATATACCCGATATATGTATTAATGTATAAATGCCAATATTCATAAAATTTAATATTCATAAAAATTTAATATAGTATTAGTTATTTTTCCTCTATTTCTTCTACGATATATGTAAGATAACTAGTTAAAATTTACTTGTGAGTTAATTTTATAATAACGAGGTGAGCCAAAATCCAGCCACGAAATATAGAGTTGGCTCGGCCGAGTGGATGGCATAACTAATTTCTTTCCAAAGCACCAAAACACTAAATTGGTAACTTTGCCATTGCTTTTGATCATTGATCACCCGTGTACCCTTACTTTTTGCCATAATCATTGGCCAACTTTACAAAATTCGTACGTAGTAGCTAACAAATCACTAAAATCAGGTGATAGCATTAAATTAACAAATAACCAAAAATATCACAACCATCAAAATCAAACAAGCAAGAATCATCACATACATAGAAAATAGAATTAGAATAGACTCACGGAAATCATCGTCCACCCTTTAAAAAATCAAAAGTGATTCCAACTACACATAATTTCTCCTTTTATTTTTTGGTCCAATTTTCATCATGTGTTAAAGAAAAAAAAAAAAATCGAGAATAGCATCAACAATTTCAAAACATTAATCGAAGAATAAAAGGGTCGGTTTTATTTAGTTATATAAACCAAGAAAAATTCGAGAATTGTAACAATATTACAACAAAACACAAACTTAAATCGTAAAATTAAAATTGGAATTAGTAAGTCGGTAACATAAGCCAAGATTTTATTTCCCGTGATATACCACAAAATAGAGACTCTTAAAGAGAGACTAAGCGTGTAAGATGGAGGGAAAACAGAAACAGGGAATCTAAGGTTTGAGGAAAAAAAAATGGAAAGAGAATTAGAGAAATAAAATCACAAATATTGAGAGAAGAAAAATATTACAAGAAGAAAAGAAAATGATGAAAAATTGGTTAAGTTCATCATTTATATGTGGGGGTGGAGGAGGAGAAAGAGAAAAGAAAGGCATAGATGAAAGTGTTGAGTTAACCTCCATTGATGGAAGTAGCGCATATAGTCTCTCTAATGGTATTCTTCCTTCGCTTGGTGCTCGTAGCCACCGTCGTATCGCGCTTCGAGCCTACATTGTCTCACCTTTTCTTAACCAATATAAGTATGGTGGTGTTCTTTTTGTTCTTGGGATTTTTATTGTTTTTGTTTTTGTTTTGATTGCATGGAGATTGGCATGTTTGAATGGTTGACCCTTATGGTATAAGAGAATGTTTGTGAACGACTTGACACGAGATAAATTCTTGGTTCATTTAGCTGACCTCGTTGTATTGGTGTTATAATGATTATTTGCTATGATGTTAGAATGATTGGGTTTTTGTTTAATTTATTGGGTATTTGTTGAAAACAAATAAAAATCTTAGAATGTTGAAATATTGGGAATTCATAATGAGTTTCTTGTTATTTTGATTTGTAAAATTTTTGGTTGATCTTATTTGAAGATTTTTATTACAGGGTTGTAATGCTGTGTTCATGATTAATACTACAATGATGTTGATTCTAATTAGGTTCTTACAATTTTTGTGTATTAGTTTGTTGAATTTGCATATTATTGGACTATAATATATTTTTTTTTTTTAATGCAGAATTTGGGAGTCATTTCTGGTTTGTTTGGTGGTGTATACATCATGGGTGTCTCCATACGAATTCGGATTCCTACAAAGACCAATGAAAGGCCTTGCTATTGCAGATAATATTGTGAATGGATTTTTTGCAATTGATATTATTTTGACCTTCTTTGTTGCATATCAAGATCCACAAACTTTCAACCTTGTTGATGATCATAAGATGATTGCTTGGAGATATGTGAAAACCTGGTTCGTGCTTGATTTCGTGTCAACAGTCCCTTCCGAAGTTGTGGAGAAGATTCTCCCTGACAGTGTCCAGGCCTATGGACTATTCAACATGCTACGCCTTTGGAGGCTTCGTAGAGTTAGCAAGATGTTCTCCAAGTAATCTTCTTAGCCTTGTTATAAAGTGGAAACTAATGTTTTATTTGACAGTATGAAGATGAATTGTGTGAATGTGTTAGGAAATTTTGAAACATTCTTGCCTTCATTTTTTGACAGATTAGAGAAGGACAAAAATGTGAACTATTTTTGGATTCGATGCTTGAAGCTAGTTTCTGTGAGTACATTTCAGAAGCTCTACATTATTGATTCTTGTTAGGAGAAGAATTCTCTAGTACCGGGAATTTTCTCATTTACCTTACTGTATGTTTCCTCATAGGTGACTCTTTTCGCGGTTCATTGCGCTGCCTGCTTCTATTATTACATTGCAGCCCATTATCCTGACCCTAAAAAAACATGGATTGGTCTTGAAATGGAAAACTTCCACAACGCGGATCTGTGGTTGCGTTACGTGACATCAACCTACTGGTCAATCACAACACTCACAACAACTGGTTATGGTGATTTACACCCTGTGAATACGTGGGAGATGGTCTTTGATATTTTTTACATGCTCTTCAATCTTGGACTGACTGCGTACTTGATAGGAAATATGACAAACTTAGTGGTTCATGGGACTAGCCGAACTAGAAAATTCGTGAGTATGCTCGTTGCTCTTCCTCTTTATTACAGCATTTCACATACTATCAAAGAATGCTGCAAAAATTCATTGATTTCAGAAGCAGAACATTCAAGGACTGCCAATTTTTATCTGTAGTTTGTTCTGATGCTAACTTGTCATTTGTTTTTCGGGTTTTTGTTTGATTTAGAGGGATACAATTCAAGCTGCTTCCAGTTTTGCACTGCGGAATAGGCTTCCTGTTCGCTTACAAGAACAAATGGTTGCTCATTTGTGTTTGAAACACAGAACTGATTCAGAAGGTTTGCAACAGCAAGAGATTCTTGATTCTCTTCCAAAGGCAATCAAGTCAAGTATTTCACATCATCTCTTCTATTCGCTGCTTAAGCAAGTTTATCTGTTTCATGGAGTATCAAATGACTTGCTTTTCCAGCTGGTATGTCTCCAATTTCATCAATACTATATATTGAAAGTTTACTGGAATGTTTGGACTATAAACTCTGCTTTTTATTCGAGTAAAACGTATAAATCTCAACCTCCTGCTTATTTCTTCTATTTACTGGAATGTTTGGACTATAAACTCTGCTGAATGATGATTTTATTTCTTCTATTTAAGGTTTCAGAGATGAAAGCCGAGTACTACCCTCCCAAAGAAGACGTGATCTTGCAGAATGAAGCACCTACGGATCTATATGTACTAGTCTCTGGTGCCATGGTGAGTAAAGTTTCTCTCCGAACCTATGCATAGAATTGAATAGACGCATTCATCATCCTAATACTTTCAAACACACAAGGGACACACGCTGTTGTTCATATCACACTATTAGAGGGATACTAATGCTTTAATATTTTACAATCCTGTTATGCTTTAATATTACTAGTTTTATCATATCTTTGGCCTCTGATTTAAGCAACCCTTGCAGGAATTTATCTACCCTATAAATGGAGTTTTCCAGGCATGTCTTTAGAACTTTCTTTTTGTAATACTTCAGTTTTTTCGAGCTGATAGGGCTACTTTTCTAACAGAAGAAATATCGTGCAGTCTGTTGGTAACGAGGTTCTCTCAGGAGGTGTATGCGGGGAGATAGGTGTTCTTTGTTATAGGCCACAGCTCTTTACTGTTCGTACCAAGAGATTGTGTCAGCTGTTGCGTCTGAATCGTACTGCTCTTCTGAATCTTGTTCAGGCTAATGTTGGGGATGGGGCAATTATAATGAACAATCTTCTAGAGGTTTGTATATATGCATGCTTAGTTGCTTTCAATGGTTGATTAATAGATATTGTATAAATGAAAATATATTGTAATTACTGATCTTTGAAGTTCCATTCTATTGCTGGTGGTGCAGCATTTAAAAGCGCAGGAAGATCCCCTGATGCAATCTGTTCTTAGAGATATAGAGAACATGCTAGCTCATGGCCGAATGGATTTGCCACTCAGTTTATCTTTTGCAGCTGCAAGAGGAGATGAACCATTGTTGCAACATTTGCTAAGACGAGGTTCTGATCCAAATGAGGCGGATGTGAATGGGCGCACTGCTCTGGTGTGTATACTTTACTCGTCTCTAAGTCTGCATTTTAAGTAATACATATCATGTTGTTATTAAACTCTGGTTGTTGCCTCTTTCCTGGTAATGCATATAACCAGCACACTGCAGCTGCTAATGGAAGCGAAAATTGTGCCCTTGTCCTTCTTGCATATGGAGCCGATCCAAACCTTAAAGGTATGTATGTTAACGACCTGCTAGACGTACATATTCAGTGCACTTGTAGCATGTACTCCAATGATGTTTTTTTTCATACACATTATTAGCATTTGGGGCATTTTGATCATTTTCGGGGGCATGCAGGGCAGCTTTATCATGTTGTTCCTTCACTGTTGGTGTGTATGCCTAGACTCTTCATTTGTTTTCAATTTCCTATGTTAGATCCTTGACACTTAAATCGACGTGGGCAGTTCAATTTCCCCACGAAGGGACAATTCACTACTGTGCCAGTTCATAACAAAGAAAAATATCCTTATCCAATATCCACTTGTCCTGATCATAAATTTAAAAACTTATATTTCATATTGGACTCTTGGATCCATAGCCGAGTTTGATACTTGTATCCCAGTCTCAGGAATGTGAGGATCATAGGTTGTGCGCGAATATTCCAAGGTGTACATACATATGTACAAAAGCTTAGGAATTTTGCTGAATTCTGTGAGATTGAGGGAATTGTAATACCCTGTAAGCTATACCTCAGAAAATTTCCTGTATACTCTTTTGTGTTTCGAGTCTTCAGATGTTTTTCTGTACAGATTATGATTAATTATAAAAGCCATTCACATTGTTTTCGCTATACAGATAGAGAAGGGAATGTTCCACTATGGGATGCATTAGTAGGGAGGCAAGAGGCCTTGATCAAGCTTCTAGTAGACCAGGGTGCAACACTAGCATCAGGCGATGCGCCTCAATATGCCTACTATGCAGTAGAGCAAGACAACTTTGAGCTACTAAAGGATGTTGTTCGATATGGCGGAGACGTAACCTTGCCTATGAGCAATGGTTACACAGCACTTCATGCCGCGATTCATCATGGGAATTCTACAATGGTTAAGTTCCTATTAAAACATGGGGCGGATATGGACAGGCAGGATACAGAGGGTATGACACCAAGGGATTTGGCCAATAATGCTAAGAATGAAGATATAAAGGCGGTAGTTTGTTCCAAAGAAGAGAGTAGTGTACAATCTATTGTTAAGGGGTCTGAGAAGGAAGCAAGTCCTACTTATCTGAAAAAGATTAATAGTACTGATTTGTCAATGGATGTTACTCCACGTACACGAGAAGTGACTTGGGCTGACAAGCATCCTCGTCGTCGTGTTAACTCGTTTCAGAATTCCCTGTTTGGGTTCATGTCTGCTGCCACTAGAGGTAAGAATTGGAAGTTTAGTTCAAATATTTGTTCATCTTCAACTAAGTTTCTTCTCTTTTTTATAGAGTATAAAAACCAACCTAATAAGCTTTTAGTTAAAGTTTAGGAATAGGCACATTTTTGTATAAGACGGGAATTATGACATGTAAATTTTCATGAAATGCTTCCTATTTTCAGTTGAATCGCAAAATGATGGGGGTAATTACTTAAGCACCCCGTTCTCCGGAAGCCAACCAGCTAGAGTGATACTCCGATGCCCTGGAACGGGCGACACAACCAAGCTTGTTATTTTGCCTGAGACCATCCAAGAACTTCTTGATTTCGGCATCAAAAAATTTGGACGGCATTGTACTAAAGTAACGACTTTAGACGGAGCTGAAGTCGATGAGATTGAGCTAATTAGAGATGGTGATCAACTTTGTCTCATATGTGAAGAAATCAATATGCCTGAAAGCTAGCAATGATAAAATTTATCTCCAATATTATTCGGTACAAGTTTTGTAGGATTCGTGTATATTATCACTAATATAGGGATCGGTGATCCAATTTTAATTGTGCATTTTTGCCTCGTTACTACGTTTCTATCTCTAAATGATCCATACTTCTTGTATATTGAAAAAATTACGAGGGAATGTAAAATTAATCATGAGGTTATAAGATCACACAACTAAACAATTTGTGATTAATTGTCTATAATGTATGTACAAGTATGTTGTACCAAGTGTTTTTAATGGCAAGTTTAGGAAGAGCTGTTGATGTAAATCGGCATTTTGTATAGTCAAAAGTTTACTGGATGTTAGATAATATTGTGAACTTAGCTTTAGGAAAGTAGTTAGAAATTGAGGTATCATTTAAAGGTGTAGATGAAACATTTTTTTTTTATTTTTTTATTTTATTTTATTATGAGGCAGCATTAGAGATGTAATAATTTAAATTTCAAAATATAGTGCTAATACTTTTGTTGCTTTTTGTCCATTCCATGTATCATTTATGTGATCAAATTAAAATTTATCACTCGTACTTTAGACAGAGTTGATGTTAATGAGACCGAGCTATTAGAGATGGTGATACGTGAAGAAAACAATATACCTGATAGTTAGTAATTGTGACTTTTACCTCTACTGGAGTACCACATATCCAGCTGCAATGTTGCATCTCAAAGCAAGATTTGACGTAATATTGTACTTTGATATCACACATTAAGACAAATCTAATAATGTCTCAAAATTAAAACACAATCTGGTATACTGGGAGAACTTGCAAGTATTGATCCCAGCGTTGCACCAAACAATTGTTTGGATTTCTGCTAAACTGCTTACTTTGACCAATTTTTTATCATATAATTCTAAGTTAAAATATTTCAAATATACTGCATAACAGTCTAATTTGTCCCTCCTCAATCTGGGAGGCCATATTTATGACTTAATCCTACTAAATAGTATAGTACTAGTATAGCCATCAACTCATACTTAGGTTGGGGTCGCTGCCCCATAAACACAAGCAGAGACAATGACCGAGAAAATACTTTGTCGACCCCTATCTTTGGTAAAATGTTGACCATATTAGCTAATTCATAGTACGGAGTAAGAAATTTACAACGTTAATTTTATACGGAGTATTTTAATATTAGTACTGTAATAATTTTTGCAGGTTGGTCAGTCCAACTACGTAGAGGAAATAGATAAGGGAATCCCCTACTCCCAAGCATTTGTAGATGGTGAGACATAAACTTGTGATTATCCCCACCATATCCGCCATGGCGCCATTATGTCAAGATTGTCAACGCATTGTACATGGTAATCCTTACACTATTATGTTCGGTGAGTGATAATAAATGGTAGAAATAAGAATGGGAATACATTTAAGGAGTAAGATTGAAAGAGGGTAGGAGTCCCTAGTTAAGTATTCAAGCATCTGTCCCGAAACCGGTTTGAACCGGATTGTATATACTTTTTATTTTATTTTATTTTATTTTTTATTTTTTATAATTAAGTGCTGGTTTTGATACAATCAAGTCTCGTGTATTTGAACCGGTTTGAACCGGATTGTATATACTTTTTATTTTATTTTATTTTTTATTTTTTATAATTAAGTGCTGGTTTTGATACAATCAAGTCTCGTGTATTTGAAATATGACTACCATAATATATTAATGATAATATAATATGACCGGTTTCTTTTTTTACGATATTATATGAACACATAATATCTACAATGCAAATATAATTTTTTTTAGAATTTTAATCCAACATAAAATAAATTATTTTTTTCAAGAAATTATAAAATACAAACAAAAATACATAAATGAAACTAAAAATTGGATAAATAAAAAAACGTTGATGATACTATTTTATACCAAAAATAAAGAAATATAATTTATAATTTGAGAAAAATAAGTCAATTAAATTGATTGCATAATCATTAAAAAATTATGGTATTCATATTTCAAACGACTACTATATAATTTCGAAAAAATTGGGTGAGTCGGACTCATGATAAGTCCAATATATCTGACATTAATAATGTAATATCTGACATTAGATTATTAGAATATTAATGTCATATATTAGATTATTAATATCATATATTAGATTATTAATGTTAGATATTAGATTTTTTATGTTAGATATTAAATTATTAATATCAGATATATTGGACTCGCGCGGTGAGTCCAGTCTCACGCAAAACTTTCTCCAATAATTTTTATTTAACACAAACATACATTACTTAGTTAAGTATTCAAGTATAAGATTATAAATTAAACTTCTACATTTTGTATGGAACACTTACTAACCCTTAGATCATTCATCCTAATTACACACACGTAATTGACGCGAAATAAGCCGTCCCCAAAAGAGTTTAGTAAATATTTAACAGATCAAATTAAGTCAACTATAACCCATCAAAATCAACATTACATAGAGATTTTTTTTTTAAAAAAAAATGTTAAGGCATCTTTTTAATCTTTCTAAATAAAACGAAGTACAAGTGTACAACTATACAAGTTGACTCTTTCAAAAATCATTTTAGTCTCTTTCAAGTTAACATAAAAAGATACGAATATAAAGAAATTAAAATTGTAGTTTGTGATCGATAAAAGATGTGGCAGAAAAAAGGAGGGAAAAATTGTATTTATTTTTGTTTTAAGAATGATGAATAGTTGGGTGAAGAGTTCAGTGTGTGGGAAAAATTTGAACGAGGCAGACCGATCTTCTACAGGTGGTACAACCACTCAGTTTAGTCTCACCAATGGCATCTTGCCCTCTTTGGGTGCTCAAAGCAACCGAGGCATCGTCCTCCGTCGCTTCATCATCGCCCCCAGGGATCCCCGTTACAGGTGACATTTCTTCCATGTTTTTTTTTTTTTTTTTTTTTTTTTTTAAATCCGAATGATGAATTATAAGGACATTACAAATTATAAATGGCTAGAGGATCTGATGAAATTTTCAAATTGAGCCTTTTTCCTATTGTACATAGGTTCTAATCAATTGCTACCATTTGGTTTAGACCTCATTGGTTAATCCGTTAATATTATTATTATAGTTGTTGTTGATTGTGATAAAGGATATGTAAATGTGAAATATGGGATATCATGTTCGTAACCTAGACTTTGACTTCGACTTTAATTGGCTTCATCACATCTTGGTTGTTACACGTATTTTCCTTGAGGAAATATACGAGTATTTAGAAATTATACAAGTATGCTTATATTATACGTAGTATTTGTTAAAATCAATGATGAGGATTTTTAGAGTTAGATGATTGAGATAGTATTATTTCTACCTGGTATGATTGCAAATCCATTTTTCAGAAGAAGTTTTAAACAACTTTGTTTTCAATAAAATTTAAAGAAAAGTCAACTAGACAACCAATCAATCATTATGAAGTGGAAGGAGTATTGTAACGTAACTTTAGTTGCTAGCTAAAGTTTTAAGGAGTTAACCATTTGATTAATTAGGCTAAGAGTCAGATCAATATGAGTCAGGTTCAACACAAGAGTAGTCAACGAACTCGAAGCTCAACATGTATGCACACAACAAAATAAGCATTATTATAGTATTCTGGGAGAAATCAAATACTGTTAGTATATACGAAGTATATTTGTTCATTTACATGCATATATATCATCATATGAACAAATTAGCATTTAAATTTAATCTCAACAATAATTTTATGTAAACAGATCATGGGAAATGTTTTTGGTATTGTTGGTTTTCTACACGGCATGGGCATCTCCGTTCGAATTCGGTTTCCTTCAAAAGCCATCAATTAAGGTCATTGCTATCGCCGATAACATTGTCAATGCATTTTTTGCTGTCGATATATTTTTATCCTTCTTCGTCGCGTACCTCGATAAGAAAACATACCTTCTAGTCGATGACAAAAAGAAGATTGCTTGGAGGTACCTCAGAACATGGTTTGTTTTCGATACTACATCGACGATTCCTTCTGAACTTGTTCTCAAAGTTCTCCCTCACAACGTTCGAGTCTATGGATTGTTTAGTATGCTACGTCTTTGGCGTCTTCGTAGAGTCAGTAAAATGATCTCTAGGTACGTAACTTTTTTTGTATTACACTTACGACTCGTTTAGTAGTGGTGACAGACTACATAAATCTATTCTGGACTTCATAAGCTTAAACTTTTAGTTGAGTTGATTATGCAAGGAAAGTCTAATGCCTGTATCCTTGATTAGCAATTCAAATGTGAAGTGGGTGGACTAACAACATTACCATGGACATTAGCGAGACTTTTTATTTTTTTTATTTTTTTACAAAATCTAACAAAAATTCATTTTCATTACTGCTATATATTTATTACTGCCTATCAAAGAGGTCGTGATATGAGTATGAAAACTGCACGATAGTAATCTCATTGGACTTTTTTTTTTCCACATATTCATAGATTGGAGAAAGATCCAAAAGTCAACTATTTTTTCATTCGAAGCTGCAAGCTAATTTGTGTGAGTATTGAACTCAAAGATGCCTTATTTTTTGTTCTGATGAAAATTGTATGTGTTTGTGTATCTAAATTTGTATGATGCTTTTGTAGACGACTCTTTTCACGGTTCATTCAGCGGCCTGCTTTTACTATCTCCTAGCTGCCAGTTACCCCGACCCGAAAAAGACTTGGATTGGTCTTACAGTAGACAACTTTGAGAAGGAGAATCTGTGGTTATTGTATGTGACATCGATTTACTTTTCGATAACCACTGTCACGACAGTCGGCTATGGTGATTTACATCCTGTGAATTTAAGGGAGATGATCTTTGTCATATTCTACATGCTCTTCAATCTTGGACTGACTGCATATTTGATAGGAAATATGACAAATTTAGTCGTTCATCGAACTAGCCGTACCAGAAACTTTGTAAGTCTAATAATCTTCTTTCTGATTGTACTCAAATTCTCTTACTCTTCATGTTAGATCATAGATATAGGCACGCGCTCAAGTGTCAGACTCGGCTAATTTATTTATCAATTTGGTTTGGTATAGTGTCAACTGTCAAGTGCTCTTACCCGTGTCAAAGTGTCAGGGATATGACTTGGGCACTTGAAGTAAAATGAAGAGTCCGAGTAATATTTTCCTGTGTCTTCAATTAGTAGGACTAAATATGTATATTTCTTGTCCAACAACAGAGGGATAAACTTCAAGCTGCTTCTAGTTTTGGACAAAGAAATAAGATTCCGGTTCGTCTCCAAGATCAAATGGTTAGTCACTTGTGTTTGAAGTACAGAGCGGATTCAGAAGGGTTACAACAACAAGAGGTTCTTGAATCTCTTCCTAAGGCAATCAAATCAAGTATTTCACATTACCTTTTCTACTCACTGCTTGATAAGGTATACCTATTTCGCGAAGTGTCCAATGACTTGCTTTTTCAGCTGGTAAGTCTCTTGAATCATAACTCATTTTATCTGATCATTTCTTGTTATTCACTTGGTTCAACTTGCTCTCAGTAGTCTATTAAGGCTTCGATGTTGTTGTTGTTGTTATCTTGTTAACGACATTTGACACATTGTTTACTAAGTCCTTGTTTTCTTGTTAATTCCTTAATTATGACATTATTTTCGGTTTTGTTAGGTTTCGGAGATGAAAGCAGAGTACTTCCCACCCAAGGAAGATGTGATTTTACAGAATGAAGCACCTACAGATCTATATGTGCTAGTCACTGGTTCAATGGTGAGACGAGGCCCTTATTTTACATTTTCTTACAGACATTTATTTTATTCGAGTTCAATCATTTTAAGATATTGATAGCTTAAAGAAACAAGATTTATTTTGGCATCTGATTTACGCGTCTATTCCTTGCAGGAGTTGATTATCAACAAAAATGGATATGAAGAGGTAAGACTTTGGTAAAGATATAATTGCATATATATTACTTGACAAATCATTTTTCAAGCTCTTAGTTTATAGTTAAAAGTTTTATTTTACAGGTTGTTAGAGAGGTTAGATCTGGAGAGGTGTGTGGCGAGATTGGTGTTCTTTGTTACAGACCTCAGCTCTTTACTGTCCGCACCAAGAGACTGTGTCAGCTGCTGCGTTTGAATCGTACATCACTTCTGAATCTTATCCAGGCAAATGTTGGAGATGGAGCAATTATTATGAGTAATCTCCTAGAGGTTTGTGCTGATAAATCAATGATTAGACTAACATTGTTGGAGCCAGTTTTAGGCGAGATCATCTCACACTTATTTATTTACACACGTTAAAAGTTGTGATTTTGAACAAAGTACTAAATCTGTAACTCTGTAGTTGCCATGATTTGTTGTGCAATTCTACAAGATTTATGCTCAAATTCGTCTAGTGCAGATGTTAATCTTATTTATCGTCTTGCAGATATTTATCCCTGCATTCTTTAACTGCTAACATTGTTTTTCTTGCTGTCACAGCGTTTGAAAGCAACTGCACAGGATGATGAATTAATGCAATCTGTTGTCAATGACGTTGAGAAAATGGTAGCTCAAGGTCAAACAGATTTGCCTCTTGATTTATGTTTTGCTGCTGGAAGAGGAGAAGAACCATTGCTGCAACGTTTGTTGAAACAAGGCTCCAATCCAAATGAACGAGGCCTCAAAGACCGCACTGCTCTGGTATGTATATATTACTCTTGAGTCTACAACGAGTTATCAAACACTTTCTATTAGTATTTTTGTACACAGTTTATCATATGAAATAATCTCCACTACTTATACATTAGTTGTGATTATATGAAATGCCTTCTCCAGCATATTGCAGCTGCCAATGGAAACGAAAATTGTGTGACTCACCTCCTAGCATATGGGGCTGATCCAAATATCCGAGGTATATTTTGAAATTAATGTGCTATATGATAAGAGTATAAAAACTTATTTCTAGGCATCAACCACGCATCAACTTAAACTGTTAATTGAATTACTCATTTAAAATGGTATCAAGAGCCAGCATGACAAAAAGGTCATAGGTTTTCTGATGACTTGATAAGCGATTGTTAATAATACATTTTCTCTTATATACAGACTCAGAAGGATATGTTCCACTATGGGATGCAATAATGGGGAAGCACCCTGAATCCTTGATCAAGTTACTAGTTGACCACGGCGCAACTCTAGCATCCGGTGATGTACCTCATTATGCTTGCTATGCTGTAGAGCAAGATGACCTAGAGCTACTACAAAACATTGTACGACATGGTGGAGATGTAACATTGCCTAAGAGCGACGGGACTACACCACTTCATGCCGCAGTTACAAATGGAAACGTGGCTATTGTAAGGTTCCTTTTGGAGCATGGCGCGGACATTGACAAGCATGATAAAGATGGGGTCACACCAAGGATTTTGGCTGATCTTCATGGAAACGCAGAGATTAAAGCATTATTTGGTACTACTACTAAAAAGAGGGTCAGCCTCAAATCAGATCATGAAGTGATCATTGATAAAAACGTCGGTTCTACTACTTCCCTCGTGAAGTTCCCAAGTACTGGTACATTATTGGAAAAGGTTAATTTGGTTCCTAATGTTCATGATGAGATGCCTGAAACTCACACTCACCCGAGAGGTCGGCCTAATGTCTTTCAAAATTCGCTATTCGGAGTTGTGTCTGCAGCAACTAGAGGTGAGCATGAGTGTGCACAAGCATTCATATTACATGTTTTCCTAGTCTTTACTCCATTTCTAACAATTGATCATCCTTTTTTAACAAGATCATATATACATGCCTTCAAAATGGAGGATTAAATCATCCTAGAAAATGCTAGATAAAGGGCGTAATGTTCGGTTCACCTTATTTTCACTTATTTCAAGTTTAATAAGTTCAGATAAACTAAATTCAGGAAAAACAAGTTTTGATAAGGTTATCCAAGTGCAAATCACAACTAAAATAAGTTTTAATAAGTTCTGATAAGTAAAAATCAGGCGAATTGAACACACCCTAGCCCATAACAAATAGACTTAGAAAAACTGTCTCAACTCGACGAAGTTTTTTTTACCCATGCGAACACTGCACTTGAAAATTAATATGGCTAGTTAATATTACCTTTCCTAATATTAATCCAATAGACTCAAAAGTGACCTAATTGGAATTCGATCAATTAAACTCTGCCTACTAAGTGACTCAACACTAGAATATGACACGAAACTAATTCATATCATTGATTTTCGCCACATCTAAGTCACAAATTTCCTATGTATTGCAGGTGAAACATCTACTAGTATAAACAATTTTACAAGCACTACGACGTTGAGAAATCCGTCTGCCAGAGTGATACTCAAATGCCCGGGAAAGAGTGAGACTTCAAAGCTCGTTAGGCTGCCCGAAACAATTCAAGAACTACTCGAAATTGGTAGCACAAAATTTGGATGCCACTGCACTAAACTAGTCTCCGCACTTGGAGCTGAAATTGATGAGATCGAACTCATTAGAGATGGCGATCATCTTAATCTAGTATGCGACGACAAGACTAATGTAAGCTAGCACAAATCGTCAGTCCAGGCTTAAGTCTTTTATTCGTCTTTGTTGATTGAGTCCAAAGTTCGAACACGAGCAAAAATACTTGTGGATTAAGAAACTGATCACATATATCATACGTACATGTTATGTACAAACATCTTTTTGAAGGAGAAATTACTCGTGTACATTCTCAGAATTTCTTCAAGCTTTGTCCTTGTATTTGATCTCTTTGTATGGCGTGAAGACTGTGAACCATAATCTTGTACAAAATTGGAACAGTGTGCGACGTACAAAGTGTAAAGTTTTGCAAAGATGGCAAGTTTCCTCGGTTCTTTTTACATGGTGATTGACACGTTTGAACTTTTGATTTGAAACTATTCACAATTTCATAAACTTTATTTTGACTAACTTTTTGCGATTTATATCTATAATAATATATAGTCAATTCGGTTCATACTTAATTAGTGTTTTGATCGATTTGGTTAATACTTTGGGTCAGTTACCCATTTTTCAGATCGTGTTTCATATTTTAAAGAAATCCAACCTATACATGCCCTATTATTTCGGTTTGGTTGCCTGTTTTTTCTGTTCATTTTTTTTCAATTTTTGGGTTAGATTTTGGTTTTACTCTCTCCGTCCCTTCTTGTTCTTCTCATTTGTAATTATCAATCAATCAATAACTTAGTACTAAAAGCTAAACTAGTGATGACACATGTCATCCACTGGTTGAAGATTTTCCCTCCAATTTACCTTTCCTTTTTTATTTTTGTCTATCCTTCATAAAAAGTATTTATAGCCTAATATTCATTTTCTACTTTGGCAATTATATTTTTTCCATACACACTCAAACGAAATATTTTTATATGTATATATTTTACACTAAGTAATTTTGTTATAAAAATGAGCAAAAATTAAATAAATTGTATATTAGGATACCATAATTTATTTTTTTAGTAGATAATTGTTAAATTAATATTGTACTTCACAATAAATTAAGTAAATCTGTGCATTGTACAGGACCTTAACTAGTTTTGACACTATTTATAAGGTGAGAGAATCTTCTTAATTACTTTTCATGTACGGTATAAGATATAGCATAGTTATGTCGAGCTTTATTTTATTCGTCTTAATAAATAGTTTATTAATATTCAATTGTTATATAATGAGCAACTAATGATATTTATGACCAAAGTTTTGCTTTGACAACACTGTCTAAATGGGAAGATTATTTGGGGATGGAGGGAGTAGAATATTTTGCCCACCCCTAATTTTAAGGTCGTAAACAAACATTGTATATATTTCCTAATATAATAATTTGTTTTGTCGTATTGACAGCCTAAGTTAGTGTTAATCGCAAACCTCAAATTTTAATAGCTACTTTGTATAATACAACCATACTAAACTGGCACTAATCAAATGAAAAGTTTTAAGTATTTGACAATAGAAATCTCTTTGGAGCATACTGAAACATTCAACGCCATGGGTTATTGGCTACCGCATTAAAATAGTCTACTTTACAAGTCTAAAGACGTTACATTTAGATCATTTGTTTATGTAACTCTCTTTACAACAAAAAATAATTTGAAAAACTCTATAAACTTATAAGTTATACACACATACCGACAAATGTACGGAAAGCGAAAGATTCAAAAAAAACAATCAAAGTCAAGTCGTCAATATTAAAACCATGTAACTTAGTAGATAATCACATAAGAAACAGTCCTAATAATCATTCTTTAATAATATGCATATTATACATACGGCATGTACGCATACTTCGTAGTTTCGTATGTACTTTGTATGTACTGTGATAACAAATAAGGAAAGGGGTGTACTTCATATGTATTCCGTAGGTGCTTGAGTTGTACGACGAGAACTCGAGAAGATCGAATGATAAGATGTTTAAGATAAAGCTAAACAAGGTTGATCCAATTCAACTTCTGTAGATGGTTCCAGCCATAATAGTCGTGACAATAATGGTGGTGGCATCTTTCCGTTTCTAGGTTGTCGTATCAATGGAAGCATCGCCTTTGTCTATCCTTTCGATCGCCTTCATAGGTATCTCCTATATGCATATACTTCTTGTATGTTTATTTTTGTATTTGTGATATAATTGTGGTAATTTGGGATATTTTTTTTTTTGATGTAATTATAATTTGGGAGAAAGGTGTAGTAGTTGCATGTTAAATGTTTAAGACAATCTATGTTTAAAATAGCTTTCTATTTTATTTTATTTTTTCTTATACAAGTATAACATTTTGATATGTCTTAAAATGATGATGAATTGCTTAAAAACAAAGCAATATCTATTAATAAGTTCATTTCCATATTGAGAAAAAATTAAGTCAACGAGACAAATTATAAGAAAATCAGAGTATTTATTTGAAAGAGGTTATGGGTCATAGAGTTGATCACATCAACCTTAATTAGTTTGTAATAAGTGGTAACAATCAACAATGCATGTATCATGTATGATATTTACGAGTATATGCTATTATTATTAAGTGATGATAGTAATATTATGTCGTTAATTAATATCCACATTGGTTGTTTATGTTACGAACTTACGAGTAGTTAGAGCTGATCAATCACTGACGGACCTATTAAGTCCATGTAAGGAGCACTTGTATCCCCATTTTGTAAATAAAAAAATCAGATTCATAGGCCTAAGTTAGTTTTTGTTTAAAAAGCCCAAAAAATTAAACCCCTGATTAGGGGATTTTTATCCACCAAGCGCCGTTTGACAAATGGACCAACCAGGTTCCGCCACGCGTCCTCCACGGACCACTTAAGACACGCCACGTGTCCACCCATGCCAAATGGGACAACCGGCCATCAAGGCCCATTTCAGTCTAGAAGCCCGATCGGCCCTAGGTTTACCTTAAACCTAGAGAGTTGCACGCTTCCCAAGGCTATAAATACTCGATTAATCCTCATTAATCAAAGGACCGAATAATTAACGGAACGGAGGAGAAACATTACGGAACACACTAATAACCGGCTGATCTCGCTAGCAAAGCAGATTACCTACATTAAATACTCTCACCTAGAGAGACCTTATTACTTTAATTTCTGTATTAATTTACTCCTTAATCAGGTACTAACTTGACCGTTGGAGGCGGAGCTCTCAGGAGTCTCCGTTATTTTGCAGGTACAGGCGTCCGGTTCCAGTCTCGGAATTGTAACTCTCCCGCAGGACATCAGAAAACCCCGAAACATTTGGCGCCGTCTGTGGGGAGAGTACTTCAGAGATGGCATCCAAGTCTGTACCGACCCCAGAAGAGAGGCGTCCCCTAGACGACCCTCAAGTTCAGTCGGACCATGATACCGAAAGTGAATTTGAAGTTGAAACTCATACAGCTCCAGACGGGACCCTAAGGGCCCGCCGTACCCGTCATACTGAAATAAGGGAACGGGAGTATCTTCAAACAGGAAGCGAGCCAGCAGGCGCACCGCTTGCTCGGCAACAGCCGACTGATGGGTCTGCTCCCATCACAAGGAACGAACTCATGACCTTCATGAGGGGATTCAAGGGAGAGATCCAAGAGTTGATCAACAAAAAACCGCCTGCTTCAGTCAAAGAGCAGGCGGCCAAAAAACCTTCCACTTCACTGAAGAGGAAGCCAGTTCAAGGGCGAGAGGCGACTCCCCATCCTAAATCTAAGAAGCGGGAGCCGTCTGCTCTTGATTTCACAAAACTCCGTTATCCTACGGGAAATAGGAAACCGGTTCGTCATATTCAGGCGGACGGGTCAAAGCAAACGTTCACAGATGCTCGGCACCTGCTAGAGCAGAAGAAGAGTGACCGATTATCAGAGTCGGCTTCTACTTCAAATTTTCAGGACAGTTTGCGAAATGCCTCGATGAGGCCAACTCAGTCGTACCATGAGAGTCAGTCAGGCGGCACCTCCCGTCAGTCTGGCTTTCATAGTGCGCAGGCGGTACCAAATTTGCCATTTGTGCCGCAACAACAATATTTTATGCAGCCACCTCCATTTGGTGGACCTGCAGCAAAAAACGTCCAACCTATGGACTGGCAGCTACGGCTGCTTAGACTTGGTGAACAGCCGTCGGCCTTCTCCAAGGAAATTACTGAAGCCGCTCAGCCGGCCAAAGTAAAAAATGTTTTAGTAGGCGCCTATGATGGCACTACTAACCCGGAAGACCATCTGATGGCATTCACCAACCTGATGTACCTTCAAGGGTTGGATGATCCCACTTGGTGCAAGTGTTTCCCAGCAACTCTCAAGGGAATTGCACAGCAATGGTTCGGCAACCTGCCGACTGGTTGTGTAAACAGTTTCAGGACGCTTGCTTACTTATTTGCCTCCAACTTTGCAATGAACATCCCTGCGAAGAAAACGACCCTTGATTTGGGAACAATTCAGCAGGGTGAAAAGGAGGGGCTTCGTTCCTACATCAGGCGGTTCAACCTGATGAGAATACAGATTCAAGGGTTACCGGATGAGGTAGCTTATACTGACTTTTTTAGAGGTCTCAAAGACGGGTCTACCTTCAAATTTGATTTAGTTCGAAAAAGGGTGGCGACTCTTCAAGAGGCCTTGATTGAAGCAGAAGCCTATATACAGGCGACTGATCTGTGTACAATGAAACAGTCGGACGGGAAGAGGTTCGACAATAGAGAAGGACGACAGAAACAGTCGTCCAACAAAGATGAAAAAAGAAAAGGGGTCTGGGCGGCTGATTCCTCTAAACAGCCGGCCAAGAAGAAAAAGGAATTCAAACCATACTCCCCAAAGTATGTGTTTAACAAGGATAACCAGTTTATCCTAAAAGAAATAAAGGGACGGCTCTCAATTGAGAAACCGCTCCCCATGAAGGGTTCTGCGAGCAACCGGAACCAAGACAAAATCTGTGCTTATCATGATGACATTGGTCATCACACCAACGACTGCATTAGTCTCATGCGGTACCTAGACCGCTTGGCTGATCAAGGTGATCTTGACACTTATGTCAAGAAATCTACGGGGAATACATCCTCAAAAAAGCAGTCGGCCAAAAAGAATCAACAGGCCGACAGTTCCGATACAGATGATGCAGTCGTCTACACCATTGCAGGCGGCTTCTCAGGAGGCGGCCCCACTATTAGGGGCAACAAAGATAATATAAGGCGGTTAGATGTAAATTCCGTTCACCAAGAACGACTGTCCAAATATACATTTCCTGAGATTGTCATCACTGAAGAGGATCTAGGAGGAATAAGGGGGCCACATGACGACCCTCTCGTTATTGAATGTAAAGTGGCCAACCAGAGAGTTGGTCGAATCCTCATAGATACTGGGAGCTCTTCAGATCTCATCAGCAGCAAATGTCTGTCAAAACTGAAATATCAGACGGACTGCATACATCCGGCCTCCCACCCTTTAATAGGGTTTGGAGGAGGAGTC